GGAGAAAATAGGGTCGCACGGTCAATCGCGCTGAAAAATAATAGGGTCTGCAGAAAAAAATAGGGTCGGTCGGGAACCGGAACCACAGGTATTTTTTTTTTACGCCCAAACAATGCGAACAGAATTATATCTAGAATGACGTTCAAATCCAAAACTTGTTAGAAAGTGAGAAAACATAGACCGAAAATGAAGGGCAAAAGCAGCCAAAAAGAGAAAAAAAAGCAATGAAATTTTCGCAGCTGTTTTTGAGTTTGAATTAAACAAGCCAAGAAAACTTGAATTGAATTTACAAATTTAAATTGAATCAAATTTCGGTAGCTTTAGCAGCCAAAAAGACCATGAGATGAAGATTTTCTCTAAGAAAATACAAATATGTAAAATCCCTAATCGTAATATGGACACTTGGAGGGTTTTGTACATGTAGATGGAAATTATGATTTAATTGATTTAATAAGATTCGGCTACTATTTAAATACAACATATAGAGCGAGAGAATTCGCCACAGGTTTCCCCAATTACGGCGATCCCATATAAACAAGAATTAAATTACTGTACAAAACAAATTTTCAAGCAACTTAACAAGGTAAAACTAATATGGCTAATAACTGAAATCTATACTGTCCAAGTTCAATAATATGGGACTAACAACAACTTATTAGGCTACATTGTTAAGCGATCTGGCTCTTTTGCACTTTACACACACTGATTTCCAGGTGCGCGGATCGTCACATTTGAATGTTTTGGAATAAATTATATATACATTTATTACACCTAACCAAGAAACAGCTGTGAAAAATGCAAATACACATCCTTCGGTCCTCGGCAGGAATCAAACCTGCAACCCTGTGATTTTGGAGCAGCGCTCTAACCAACTGAGCTATAGAGGTCAGTTGTGGAGCTCTAACCACAAATTCATGTATATATTTACTAGGGTATCACCATGTTAAGGTATGGTTCTGCCAGGGAGCTAAAGTTGCATTGTACACATCTGTTCCTGGTTAGGTCTAATAAATTTATATAGAATTTCCACTTGATAATTTCCATCTTCAACAGTACAAGTCCCTCCAACTATTATTCAATCGAGTAAGATGCCAACAAAATCTCGATATGGACACTTTAACCTCTAAAAATGCACTGTGCCCTACTTCATTATTTTATTCTGTCCAATGCCAGAAGATTTTACTTGTCAGGGAGAGAGTGCAGACACTCAATGGGTTTAATAGTAAGGCCATCTGCATGTTTAGTTAACCATTAACTAAAGTTACATTGTTTCCTATTTTAATCGCAAATTGTATATCAGCTTATTTATTCATAAATTATATTACCTGTGTGTTAGCAAAATAATGTCTCCACAATGGTCGAATCTTATCCTGTCCACCAACATCCCAGACAGTAAAACTAATATTTTTATATTCCACAGTTTCCACATTAAACCCTTAATAACATTAGAAGAATTACTATATAATTGTTTGAATTGAAGCTTGAAATTGGACCGGCAGGGGGGGATCAGTTTCTGATAATAGTAAGTGTATTGGAATATCCAGGGGCGGAAAAAAATAGGCGAGCACTGCTCACATGAAATGTTGAACAGCTGCAGGAAATATATTCATTTGAATGAAGATTTGCTATAGAAAATTTGAAGAAAACCTTAACACCCATGTCCCACTATGGGCACAACAATGTATGGTTGACAGACATTATTCCTTGAATTTAAAACCATGGTCAGTTAACACACTCTATGTTTATGAAGATTTAGCACAAAAATACTCTGTTGGTCTGCAGAATATTTTTGTCTCCAGGTTGTGCTCCCACGAAGAAAATTATCTTTTCCTGTCCTGAGGACATCCGAAAGGGGATGGGGTTACTGTAACTTTCAATTTCCTCCATGAGGAAGGTGTGGATGTTTTCTGGAATGACCTATTGGTCTATTGTTGAGTGAGAAAGTAATATTATTTTGTAGTATCCCAATACACAGAGGATTGAGAAAGTAATATTATTTTGTAGTATCCCAATACACAGAGGATTCTAAAATTTGGTTTTGGAAACCAAACTACATGAATGACTTATATATCACCACTGGATAGTATAAAATTTCTTCTGAATTCTGATAGACAATTGCACATATCAATAAGTAACATGAACAAGCTGCACACCCCTGTCAGCAAATTAAGTTTTTCCAAATTCTCATCCAATTTTCATCCTGACATCTTTCATCAATTTGTCCTTGGGCAATGTCTATTAGTCCCATACAAATCCATATTAATTTAATATGTTTGATATTTTTTAAAGGGTAATGGCAATAAAAATTTTTATTGCTTTATCTGAAAGAGCATGAAAAAATAAGCCGATTGGCCGTTTACTGCTCTATTCTGTCTCATCTGGTTCCGAAGTTATACGCAAAAATGTGCAAAATATAAATTGCTGATTCAGCACAACGTGTGACGTCATTGGTAGGGTAAGTATGTTTAATGAATACTAAACTGAAGCATAGCTCAGTTATTATGGGCCCAAATCAAATGAAATTTTGGATACTGATTGTACATGATGAGACGCATTGAAAAACACTTCTAATTTTGTTGCCAAGGTAACAATGTCGTTCCCAGGCCCCTTGCGCCAATTTTATAAAACAGCTTTATTCATGGTACTTATAAGAATAAAATAATGTCAGAAGTATGTGTACCATACCTATGCATGCCAAAAGTTTACTTGCATGATAATAATTCGAAAATGACATACACATAGATAAATGCAACTAGTTATTCAAAATCAGTGTAAGGGGCCTGGGAACGACTGCGTTGCCTTGACAACAAAATTAGAAGTATTTTCCCATGCGTCTCATCATGTACTATCTGTATGCAAAATGTCATTTGATTTGAGCCAATAATAACTGAGCTATGCTTCAGTTTACTATTCATTAAACATACTTACCCTACCAATGACGTCACACGTTGTGCTGAATCAGCAATTTATATTTTGCACATTTTTGCGTATAACTTCGGAACCAGATGAGATAGAATAGAGCAGTAAACGGCCAATCGGCTTATTTTTTCATGCTCTTTCAGATAAAGCAATAAAAATTTTTATTGCCATTACCCTTTAAGTTATCGTGCTGACAGACAGACACACACAGAGACACAAATTTCTGTATATTTGAAAACAGAAATGGTACGTAATGTGTTTCCTACTTTCCTGCACGCAATATTGCAAAGTTTTCAAGTTTTGTCAAAAGTCAAATATCATGCAGGGTTCGAGATTGGAATTTTTTACTAGTATCAGACCTTGCTCTAAGGGGCGCGCGATCGCGCGTGCGCCTAAGATTGCTTAAGCGAGCGATTCATCGCGCCCACAAACTAAACATGGCTAGAAATCCAATACAGTTTGCGGTTTGACCTGCGGGCTCAGATTTACATAAATTGCGGATTTGCATAAATTAATTACTTGGTGTTAAACATTGCGGTTCATTTCTACAAGGAGTTGGACGAGTTAAAGAGTATTGTTCTGTGCAGCACAGCTGATTTTTATAGCGAGAACAAAACTAAACGCGGCAAATATATTGTGAATATCTAAAGCCAAAAGCCCAAAACTATGTCCTGCGTACATTGAGCTTTATTAGCATATGCGAATGAAGGGCTTGCAATTGCTAATTTCTATTGCAAATAGCAATCTAATAGCAGAATATCATACATGTTTAATACAAGAACTCAGCGTAAACACTGTAAAAATATATAAGAAACAATTCATATGTAAAATGCCTCTTTATTGATGAATTTCGTAAATTGCGAAATTTGATTCCCCAACAGAAAGTGTATATTTACCAAGCCAAATTTCAAATTTTACCGCTTATTTGCGCTTTAATTTCTGCATCCACGATCAAATAAACATTGCAGCGGTAAACACCATGAAAACCATAACAACAGTTCTAAAATGGCGACAAGAAAGCATTGCATTGCTTCGATTTTGATCTGAAATAAGACTGGATAACGCATCTATAGTATACAAAAGTGAAGCCGGAAGTTACCGGCCGCCACCCGATTCTGCGGCCCCACTTTTGTATAGATTTGTATTACAGACGGCAGTTTTTCGCGTTTTTTGCCTTGGCTACGTTTCCGACTGGGCCAATTTTACAATCACAAGGATAGAAGCGTACAAGAAGAATTTTGAGCAAAAAATTTGTAGTATTATGGCTTTATAACGCCGCGAAACGGGATTTACAACTCTGAAGGAGTGGAGAGCCTCAGACTTTGTTTATCAACACGAGCTCGTTTTGCTACTTTCATACAAAATCAACTCAAAATATACAAGAATTATTGTTACTGGACGAATATTCTCACGAAATTTGAAGAAATGAAGCAGCTACATTGTGAACAAAAGCGTACAGAGGTTAGTTTTAAAATACCTCGAGGATACTTCCATAATTATATGAATTAATTATTTAATAAATAAACTGAAAAACATACAAATACAAATCAACTTATATGTTGTTATTATATGTTCGACTATAGGAGTATTATTATTATATGACATATTAGTGTAATTTAGTGTTATAATTCAATTAAAAGGCAATATAAAGACACTAAAATAAATAAACTGAAAAACATACAGCACTAACACAGATCAACGCTTGGGCTCCCTGTGCTCCTTGCAATCGAAGTGTGAAGTGCAGAAGTGGAAAGATGTAATTTGATACATTTCCATCCCCCTCTTAGGTCAACCTCGTACCCAGCGCCTGCCCGCCCGATTTTTTAATATGGGCGCCAAAGCGGGCGAGGCCCTGGTAAACGCTGGTCACGTGTCAGGCAAATACTCCAAGATTCTTGGAGTATTAGCCTGCGAGCGGGTTTTATGGAAATAAAGACAGGGGGGGCGACGAAGAGTTCACGAATAGAACTTGAATTGCCGCGGATTATTTATATTCTTTTATTTTTTGTTGTAATCTTTCATTTTAACATGTTACGTTTATATATACGTCGAATGTACATCAATCTTCTTTTATATCGCATCATATAAATCGCCGAGGAGGCGATGTTTCGAATTTCGAAGGAAAATGGAGCCAACCTCGTACATACTAATTTGTGATGATTTCCATCAAGTAAAAGGTACAGAATGAATTATAAAATGTTTAGAAGTATTTTATTGTCACAAATTATTTAGCAGATTCCCATAATTTGTTACACTGACTAGCTCTATGAAATATATATTTCGAAGGCTATTTAATATATTTGATACAGTATGTTAATATAGTTAGCTGAATTTGTCGAAGAATGAGAAACACATGGCCAGACTATGGCCTATAATACTATACTCAGACTCTCAGTAAAGTTCTACTCTCACATGATTATTAAAATATTGATTTGTCCCTGCGAGAAACGTGTTTACACTTACAGTATTACTAAACTACAGTTTACAACAGTATAACTTCAAATACTTTGTATTTACATTTAATGGCCTGAAATTATTTAAATGAGCCATAACTGTAATAACAGAGTGGCCAGGTTGACAAAGCTAAAATCTGATCAACCTATTCCTGCTAGGATATTTCAATAGTCAAACATCAGTTTCAGCATTTATTCAGCATTATTTAATGTTAGTGAGTTAATGAGTATTTTTAATGTCCATGGCAACTACAGCTGGTCAGGGATTTGTTAGGGAAAAGGTTTAGCACCCCATCGTAAAACCTGTCCCCAAATCTCAAAATTTCATTATTTTGTTCCCTTGCCCCTACATTTATACCTTTTGTGCCCTTGAGATCTTTGAAAAAATTGCCTAACTCAACTCTGCAGTGTGACGGGTAACCTTGTTGCCATAATTATTTTCTGAAGGCTTCAATAAATTTCTACTCTAGCACCTGACAGAGATGGGGGCCATATGTATGAACAAGAAGAAATGATTTCTTCATCTATTGACCCCTTTCACCAAATTTTTAAATTAAATTTACTGAATGATTTTGAAGTTTTCTAGATTATTGAAAAGAACTTTATGAGCAAGATGCAAGTAACAATGAACAAGACCGGGTCACTGGATGGTATTTCAGCACACTGTCTGTGTGGTGTTTTGCTTCTCTCTGTGGTTCTGCTAAATTGAATACAATATTTATGTAAATTGATTACTTTATACAAGTTTCGTTATATCTGTTTGTCAAGCGTTGTGTGTAAAATGTCTGCATGATTCATTTAGCCCTTTAATGGTTATTTCGGGCAGACGGAACCTATGACATGTTAAGAGGCGCTAATGTTTCTTCTCTTTGTATCTGAACTGAGCTACTATTTATCAGTCGATGTAAGTTTATAATCTCTATTAACTCAGTAATATAGTATAGCTCAGTGGTTAAATATCTTCAACATTTCTACAAATTGAGTTTTTCCTTTATCTTTCAGGCAGTAATAAAGCCATTTAAAAGTTGTAGTTTATTAATTTTGAATATAATAGTTAGGCGTAAAAAAATACCTGTGGTTCCGGTTTCATATCGTGAAAAAATTAGGGTTTGTAGGTCGGAAATAATTTTTTTTTTTTAATATTTTTTTCATGGCTTTGGCGGGGTTTTTCTGGGCGATTTGCAGTAGAGTCCCAACATCAATATTAACTAGAGATGCGTATTTCCTATGGACAAATTTAGGCAATTTGGTTCAATAATTAGTGTGACAACAGACGCCATTTTGGCACGCTGTATGAGCAGCATGCAACCACCTGGAGAAAATAGGGTCGCATGTTGAAAAAATAATAGGGTCGCCAGAAAAAAATTGGGTGGGTCGGGAACCGGAACCACAGGGGTTTTTTTACGCCTTAGGGACCGGTCATTATTTATGGCGGGGGGTGGCACCGAAGAGAAAAGGGTTGGGTAAACTAAATTTTGAGTAACTAAAAGGTTGGGTAAATGAAAAACAAAACAACTCAAGGGTTGGGTAATAAAAAGTTATTGTCATTTCCAAAGCATGACTCACTTAAATATTGGAGACTGAAAAGCAATGTCAACAGTCATATGTCAAAACAATATGTGAATCAATCAGAGTCACTATTGATCATTTTCCGATTTGTTGGGAGACAAATGGTCCCAAAGAAAGCTAGTACATGTACATACAACATGAAAGTTTAGTTATCAAACTTGTGTCACAGACTTGGTAAAGGACATGTGTGACAATACTGAATGGTATTCTTTTGTAAAGGTTTTGGCCAGGGGTGGGTATTTATTTTTTAATTGATATTTGAGGTTGGGTAATCAAAATTTTTGCTTTTTAATGGTTGGGTCAGCAAAATTTTTACCAGGAAAAACATTTCTCTTCGGTGCCACCCCGCACCATAAATAATGACCCGTCCCTTAGTAAACAAAAGTTGACATTCAAAGAAAAGATCTGTCATGTTGTTGTGATTTGTTATATTACATTTTGGGCGGTATTTTTCCATCTTTCTTGTATTATTTTGCAAATCCTTACGCACTCCTTGAGGGCCTATTTTTTTTAAGGCAGTTAATGTTTTAATTTGTAAATTAACAAGATTATTTGCAAATTGTGTCATTTCTAGATATGTAGGGGGCCTCAAAAAAAATGTTCACAGTAGCATGCAACGTCTTTTGCGCGCGCGATTAACCACTCCCGTGCGATTTTCTTAGGGCAAGGCCTGTAGTATCCATTATGGATACCAGCATTTCAAATTTGGTATCCAAATTCAAAAAATTGGTATCCAAACATAGGAATATGGTAGAATCCATAGATGGATTTTGTGGGGGGAGTGCAGGGCACAGATTAGCTATAACCCCACCAAACTGTCCACCCCTCCAAAAATTTAACCCCCCAATATTCGGCATAATAAAAAATAATTAAATAGTCCACTCCAACGTGCAGAGTGTTGATGATACAAAATAAACGTAGGAGTACACTCAAATAGAAAAAGACAGTGCAATACTCTGAAACTAATTGCTCCTCGCTTGCATTCACTGGTTTATTGGAGCAATTGTAAAGTTTTGAAACTCTATTATCTCCCCTGAATAGAGTTTGCAGTGCCTTGTCATGCAAATAGCTTGCTTGCAAGGAGCGTTTGGAATTTTTATGAACATTATTTTTAGTTTTTAATTCTTTTAGGAAATAGTCTTGCCTAGATTTAATCATTACGCCCCAAATATTATTTACATCGGAGTTACATCATAAATTGTACTCGGATTCAAACGACACAACGTCAATGACTTTATAAAAGTAAAAGCATATTGTGTATTGGCCTATTGGGTTTACACTTTTACAGGTTCATTTAACTTTCACTCGCTCAAGTCTCAACAGACAATCAGACAGGCCAAATCCATTGATATGACAACTTCAAAAAACGTTTTTTCGAAGCTAGAAATCATAACTTTTTTCTAATTTTTCCAGGGATACTTTGTTTTCTGCTCTCTAGACTCTCCCTCGCGGCTCTAGTGCTCCACCCCTAGAATATTATAGACCTTACTGGGGTTTGGTGACACTTTGTGTTGCTTCAGGCACCTGCTCACGGCTCACCCCCCTAAAAAATTCTGGCACCACCCCAGTAAAAAATATGAAAATCCGTCTATGGTAGAATCATGATATTGAATGTTAGGTATTCTTTACTTTCAGTTCACTACAGGGTACAGAGAACATTGATAAAGTAATTTAGTTACAAAGTACAATAGATATGCATTATTTCTAAATATATCCCTAACCTTAACCATATACATATAGACATATTATTATAAATTTCCTCTGTTCTTCACCAAACTATTTTGCTGTAATAACTAAAATAGCTTAATATGAAATCCTCCAAAGTCTGTTTGTAAATTTATTGTCACTTTAAATTTTGTATTCGAACATGTGCTTTGAGATCAAAACAGAGAATGCAAGTGGAAATGTACTAATGTAGCCTGATAATGAAAACACCCGCCAATTTCAGGTGGATTTGCGGGTGTTTCAGGGTCTCAGTAATTAGCTAACGGAAGTGAAATTTGAAGAAAAGTAAAATATTTATTTTAGCGTTCGCTGCTCAAAGTTTACGAGCGTTTCAAACATTATTTGTAAAATTATGTACTACAGTACATATTAATTTTTTGATTCCCTTTGATAAAGTTTATAAGTAATGTTGAACAATTGATATTTAGGCAAGAATTTTCTGGTATCCAGTTAGGCGTAAAAAAAATACCTGTGGTTCCGGTTTCATATCGTGAAAAAATTAGGGTCGGTAGGTCGGAAATAAAAAATTTTTTTGAATATTTTTTCATGGCTTTGGCGGTTTTTTGCTGGGCGATTTGCAGTAGAGTCCCGACATCAATATTAACTAGAGATGCGTATTTTCTATGGACGAATTTAGGCAATTTGGTTCAATAATTAGTGTGACAACAGACGCCATTTTGGCACGCTGTGTGAGCAGCCCGCAACCACCTGGAGAAAATAGGGTCGCACGGTCAATCACGTTGAAAAAATAATAGGGTCAGCAGGAAAAAATAGGGTCGGTCGGTAACCGGAACCACAGGTATTTTTTTACGCCTTAGGATACCAAGGTTTTAACATTTGGTATCCAAAATTGAAAACTGGTATCGTCAACGATACTAGGATACCGCCAATCTCAAACCCTGCATGAACAGGCATGCAGTTCAGCAGACCCAAAGTTACTGCTTTAACAATATGGGGCAGCAAGCAGGCTATTCCACCCCTGAGTAATGTGTGGATTAAACCAAAACTCACCAATTGTTGGTATTGTAGTTACAACTTCTCCTAATTTTAATTTATATAAAATTGTCGTCTTTCCAGCAGCATCAAGGCCAACTAAGATGGTAAATAAAAAATTGTCACTTAAATATATTAGTTACTTGATTTTCACCAAGTTGAATAAATTGTCTAGCATTAGGCAAGTAATAAACAAGAGCACATAACTGCAAGTATCACTTACTGTCATTCCAATTGAAGTGCTCAAATATTGATTCAATACATTACCTCGGGCTGACCAATTCATTTCATCAAGTTCCTCGAGATATTCAATGACATACACTTCCTAGTATAATTGTAAACTTCCTGTTGAATAGTTTGAATGCACCAATCACCTTTGTTGTTTGTGCAACTAACCAATCATAAATAGAAAGGAAGTGACCAGAAATGATCAAATACTTGGAATTGGCTCTTTCACAGAAGTGTATGAATATCTCGAGGAACTTGATCAAATGAATTGGTCAGCCCGAGGTAATGTATTGAATCAATATTTGAGCAACACTTCAATTGGAACGACAGTAAATTAACCCATTGAGGTTCAATGCATCCAAATTCACCATACTCTATTATTTTACTCTGTCTAATGGCATACAATTTTACTTGTCAAAGGGACAGTCTTGTGCATTAATGGGTTAATTTAAGAAAATTTGCACTTACAGTAAAAGTCATGATGGACCTAAACATTACTGTCTTCAAGCGTTAACATATTGTATATGTATGTGGAATCAGTGTGGGAAAAATTTGGAAACTTTGTGGAGTGAAAAAAATACTGATACATATATTGATAGTATCAATATTTTCAGCCTCAGTCTTTCAATGAAGACTATATATATATATACATTTATTATATAGAGAATAATACATGGGTGCACGGAAATACCAGATTTATTTCGAGTGTTGAACATGATATCTCACTAGTGAGTGCAGCAAGCAAGTGAGATATCATATTCAACACGAGAAATAAATCTGGTATTTCCAAGCACCCATGTATTTTCTGTTTATTATATAAAGGTCAGTCTTTGAAAAGCGATAATATTTACAGAAAAGCGATAATTGACAGGCAATAATTTTCACATGTGAGATTATCACTTTTATCATTGCTCTAAATCTCTATAAAGCACTATACTTTATATAATAAATACATTTATTAGACCAAATCAGGAACGGAAGCAAAAGGTGCAACTTTAGGTCCCTGGCAGGAATCAAACCTGCGGCCCTGCAATTCCAGTGCAGTGATATATAGATATATATATATATAAATATATATATATATATATATATATATATATATATATATATATATATATATATATATATATATATATATCTTGTTTGTCGATGCTGACACGTATCTGAAGAGTGCTCAATGCAGGTAAGATTTTGCAGAGCAAAACTATTATTGGTGTAGACTAAGACATGATATCTGAAGATAATTTAATAAAACCTAAACCTATCGTAAATAGGTTTAGGTTTTATTAAATTATCTTCAGATATCATGTCTTAGTCTACACCAATAATATATATATATATATATATATATTTATCACATACTTGTACCTTTATCAGGTAGGAAGCAGCGGGACATAAAAACGATATCGTCCCAGATATCGTTTTTTGTCCCGGATATCGTTTTTTGTCCCGCTAAATTTCGCGCCTTGTCAAAACAAAGATGGCCGATTCGAGGTTCGTGTTGGTTGATGTCAAGAGTTTATCGAAGAAAACAAGAACGATAATACAAAATGAAAGACTTAAATTGTATATTATCTATATGAATGGTCTATTTATTTTCTAAAATCATATTTGTTCAGTAAATGATGAATTGTTTTGAATTTTAAAATGATCCTATTTTTTCAAAAATCAAAACTGTTTACTTTGGGTGTCAAACCCTGATAAAGGTACAAGTATATAATAAATAGGTTATCGTACTCGGGATTCGGTGATATCAGTTTTATCGCTCTCGGGACGATATCACAATTGTCCCTCGCTCGCTGCGCTCGCTCGTGACAATTGTGATATCATCCCTCGAGCGATAAAACTGATATCACCTCATCCCTTGTATGATAACATATATATATATATATATATATATATATATATATATATATATATATATATATATATATATATATATATATATATATATATATATATATACATGAACTTGTAGTTAGAGCTTGACAACTGGTCTCTGTAGCTCAGTTGGTAATAGAGCGCTGCACCAGAATCACAGGGCCGCAGGTTCAATTCCTGCCAGGGACCTAAAATCACATTTTTTGCTTCTGTTGCTTGTTTATCCAATAAATGCACCCAGTATATAAATTTCTTGAAATCTATAACCAATAATGGTAAGAGTTCAGTGTTTACATTGACAAAACCATTCAAAAACCCTTTATTGGAAATGGAATTTTTTTCTAAAATTTTAACATTTACTGTAATATTTTCAATCACAATTTGTATTCTTGTGACTGTTGATTATTTGATTTTATTTGATTCAAACTGATAGAATTGTGGAAATCATATTTCTGTGTGCCTATATGTAGGCATGAGACGTACAATATGCTACCCGTTGTTGCCCATTTTTAATTTGCAAATTTGTCTGATATTCTATTTCAGCTGCAAAATTATGCTTTTTTTACTTCAAACTGCTGCAGGAGGTAAAGTCCTCCTGCTAAAGTGCCAAGTTTCCCATTGGTTTTTGCCTTGGTATCCTCTCATATATATAATACAGAATGTTTGTCTCAATGGGGCTTTTGTTTAAAAGTCAGGGGGGGGGGGGTACGTAGACAAAATCACTTCAAATTATTAAATGATACACTGACAGTTTATATGACTATTTATCATGACATGAGCATCATAGGTTGCCAATTGGTTATCCTATTTGGAGTGCAACAAATCTGCACTGAATATTATAATATGACAATATGGCAATATAGGTAATGCGGATTGGATAAATAATAGAAATTACCAGATTTCATATTTGATAAAAATATACAAGAGAAAATGCACTAAAATGAACAGGTTTTAGGACCAAATGTTTTATCACTTTGAAGCGAAAATCTAACTATTATAAACAATGCTAACATAGTTTAAATATTAAGGAAATTTAAAGGCAATGTGAATGTCACAAAATGGCATTATAAATATAAAGTTGTACTCACCCATAAGAATTCGGCTCTGTTTCTGCCCAAATAAACTGTGGAACAAATTGGAGACGGTTAATCCCATAATCGCGAAATTCGCGGTTTATAAAAGAAATAAGCAGAAAATCTAGAGGAATTTTTGAAAATAGAAATCAACAATCGATCTTTTCAGAACAGCCACGTCAAGAATCAAAGAACACTGGCGCTGATCACGTGGGAGAAGTAAATGAGCCCGCAATCTCGTACCTGCCCGTTCGCAGGTTAGGTTGTCACTTGTTTCTACTGAGCTCTACTTAAGGTGGCTCGATATAGTTATCACGAAAACCCTGCTCAAGAACTCAAAACCGGGTGACCATTTTTACGCGCAGGTCGCGGAAACTGATGGCACGGTAGAAAACCCGGGTAGCGGATAACCGGATAACCGGATAACCGGATAACCGGATAACCGGATAACCGGATAACCGGATAACCGGATAACCGGATAATCGGATAACCGGATAACCGGATAACCGGATAACCGAATAGTATATAGAGATTTTTTCATGGGAAATACTTACGTGTGGTATTTACGCACGCGTTATAATCTGTTTTCGCAAATTAAACGAACGAGAGCGAGTGCAAAATTTGTTCTTCATAGACGATACAGAGTTTATTTATATTACACAGCGAAAAATATAAAGGTTTATATGTTTCATAAAGCGAGACAATCAGATAAACAAAGTCGTGTCGTACAAAAATACATCGGAAAATACAAATTTTTCAGTATTAATGAACAGGAAAGGAACTATCAATTTATTATTATTATTTACAAATATTTTAAAACGGTAGCTCTTCAGAACACCTATGATCCGTTTTTTACCAGGTTTTTTATAAAATATTTCGTGTGAGAAAGGATCAATATTAAAGAACTGTCTGTATTAAAGTGATGCTATTAAAAATACCAACTTCTAACGGGAATTGAAAATTATCCTTTGCACTTCAAGAGTAGCTAAGTCGGTAAAAACAAGGAAGCCAATCAACTGTTGTTACTTTAATATTTTGAATTTTACTTTAATGCGCTGGTAAAATCCTAAAAAAGTGCTGGCAAAAATGGGTAGGGATAAAGGGCGGATGCGGATACGGATGCGGATGGCGGATACGGATGCGGATGAGAAAATACGGATGGGAAAATGCGGATGGGGGATAAAACGCGGATGGGAAAATGCGGATGGGGGATAAAACGCGGATGGGAAAATGCGGATGGGGGATAAAACGCGGATGGGAAAATGCGGATGGGGATAAAACGCGGATGGGAAAATGCGGATGGGGGATAAAACGCGGATGGGAAAATGCGGATGGGGGATAAAACGCGGATGGGAAAATGCGGATGGGGGATAAAACGCGGATGGGAAAATGCGGATGGGGGATAAAACGCGGATGGAAAAATGCGGATGGGGGATAAAACGCGGATGGGAAAATAATAATAATAATAATAAATAATAATAATAAATTATAATTTAATAATTTCTATTATACTGACAATTATTTGCGAAATTAAAGAAGCAATGTCACCCATATTTGACTAAAAATGCATTTTATTTACAGTGTGAACTGTAATTCTGAAAATAAACATCGTAAATGGATTTATGTATGACATAAGAGTAATACGCTTTTTGTGTTTGTTATTGCTTTATTTTGTAATTACAGCCATTCTTTCTCAGTTTTGTACAAGTTTTGAGAGAGTCAGAATTCCTCAAAAATCGGTGACATTGCCCCTTTAAGTCGGTTGTAATAACAATTTAGGGATTTTTTCAAGTACTAGTAGTGCAGTATCAATTCAACTAGGATTGCCACTTCTTTTGTATGAATTCTACCTACAATTATTTCCAAACCCCAAATATATTCAAGCGCTTTTATGCGCCAAATGTCGATCAAATAATTCTCACCAGACCTATAAATTTACCACATCTCAGGACTTACGCATGCAACAATAATAGGCATATGGTAAAACGCGGACTGGACTGGACTGGTAAAACGCGGACTGGACTCAGATTAGTAAAACGCGGACTGGACTCAGATTAGTAAAACCATAGAGGTAAAACGCGGACTGGACTCACTGATCTATTAATAGTAGACTGGATATAACTTTTGTGACACAAATTACTATAGAAATGTGAACAGTATGGCGAACAACGTGAACTAAGGTGAATTTTGCCAAATGTGAGATACTTTGCGAAGTTTTACCAAGTTGGTCGCTCCACAGTGGATAAAAGATGTTATGTTAATGCTGTTAAAACGAAAATTATCCAGATTGCCTTAAAATATCGTCAGTTTGGTTCGTTCAAAGTTGCCATGCGGGAATAATATTTTATCGCCACAGTGGCATGACAACACGATAATTTCTAGTTTACTCAAGCATACTGTTAAGGTAAAGTAAGTAGTTCGTTTTATCAATTATGTTTAACCTTGATCAACCAGAGGGTTTCAAACTTTCAATTATCCATCTTTAATACTAAGCCTTTTTACAAAATACGAGGGGTAAATTACTCTGAAAATCTTCGTACACTTCATCAAAAATCCCAAAAAATCTTTGGAAAAATCCCAAAATCTTACTAAATCCCAGAATCCCAAAATCCCAAGAAATCTCTAAAAATTGCATAAAATACTTGGAAAAAGCCCAATAAAATCCTCAAAACTATTGCAATATTGAGAAATCCCATTTAAACATTTAAATCGTGAATTGGCGTGAGAATGTCCTTTGTTGATTTACTTCGTTTTAAAAATAATTCGACGGATTATATGTCGCAAAAAATGTCGGAAAAAGTTCGGCGAAAAAAATAAGCGAAAATATTTCGAAAAAATCAGCTGAAAAAAATCCCAAAATCCCAAAAAAATCCCAGAATCCCGAGAAAAATTGCCGGGATTTTCTAATCCCAAAAATCCTCGTACGCTTTTTTCAGAGTAATTTACCCCTCGACAAAATATATATACATGTCTTTGTTGTTACTAAATATATTTGTACTTTTTAAATTTATTATTTTGTTAAACTGGAAGGCAACCTTTATAATAAAACTTTCTGTAGAGTGAATCCACTTTTACAATGCAGTATAATGCAGTTGAGTTTTGAATTAGAAAAACTTACAAAATTGATTTAAAATGTGCTGTGTATTTATTATTCAATATTGAAATATATGAACAAATATAAAAGATATCATTCAAAGTTAATTTGAAATAATAACCTGCTTTAACCTCAACCACTGATGGACTCGACTCATTGATACAAAAGTAAAATTGTCAGGCAACTATAGGCAGTGTGATCATATTCTGACATTAGAAGACAAATATACTTCATGCTATTTATGAAATTATCTCTAATACTATCTATATATATTATCTATGCTTCAAAAGCATGGTTACCATGGCCAGTTGTTTCCAGTTGTGCTGTTTCAACAACTATGTCAAGAAACCCCATGCAGGTGACAAAACACCAGTGCCAGATTAACCATATGGCAGAAGCGGCATATGCCACATGCCCCACGGTTTTCCCTATTTCAGTGCAGGGCCCAACCAAACATAATGCACACTGCACAGCAGGTATACACTTTTAGGTATTACTTGTCATATGATATTATTGTTGATACCCATTGTGTCACTTAATTTTAGTACAAATTATTGATGTATACTTCCTTTTTTTGTAAATACACAAATTTCAAGCAACTTCTCAACACGTACAATACAAAAGGATATGTTTATGTTTTTGAATCTTTCTGAATTCAGTGTTTAAAATGCAGGGGGGGCGCTGTCTTGGGTCCTCGCACTGATAAAATGCCACAGGTGGACAGGCCCCGCGAAATGTTAATTAATCTGGCCCTGCAAAACACAACATTGTTGCAACCAGTGTTTCTTTTTTGAATACCCCTGGGGCATATATAAACCAACAAGCACATATATATGCTGGGAATTTGGTGGAAAAGCACCTACAGATATTTTACAATAACAAATGTTTAGATATAAATGAATGATCAAAATTAATAATGAACTTTACACTCTACATGCCTTTGGAGTCACTGCACTAAAACAATATACACTGTCACTGATTACACTCTACAACTGAAAGTTCAAAATTCAAATGCAATATAAAAGTGGATTCACTCTACAGAAAGCTTTATTAAGGTTGCCTTCCAGTTTAACAAAATGACAAATTTAAAAAGTACAAATATATTTAGTAACAACAAAGACATGTATATATATTTTGTAAAAAGGCTTAGTATTAAAGATGGATAATTGAAAGTTTGAAACCCTCTGGTTGATCAAGGTTAAACATAATTGATAAAACGAACTACTTACTTTACCTTAACAGTATGCTTGAGTAAACTAGAAATTATCGTGTTGTCATGCCACTGTGGCGATATATATGTTATTTACCGGCTGCGAGGTCCGGATGAGAAAAACTGTGCCCGAGGTCTTGAAAACGGCCCGAGCCCAAAGGGCGAGGGACGTTTTCAAGACCGAGGGCACAGTTTTTCTCATCCGGACCGACGCTGCCGGTAAATAACGTGTTTATTTTTTATCAGATGTAAAAATTAAATTGATTAAAATTCCAGTGTTGCTTGCGAACTAATTTGAGATCAGTGCAGTTGTGTATTTTCAAAGCGAGGCTGACAAAAATTGAAATTTGAAAAGTTGAATGATATAAAACACGATACGAAAACTCGAGAAAACTGGCAAGAAACACACAAAAAGACGTATAG